AATCGACTTCTTCACATCTTCCATTGTTGTTAATGAGAGTTAAATTGTTCACTCCTTTTAATTTACAAATTTGACACATTCCATAAGTTTGGTATATTAAACAATTGTCCGTTGCTTCACATTTTCCATCTTTTAAAGTGTAATTCTGAGTACAAATAAGACATCGATGAGATACTTTATACACACAATTAATTATTTCTATACACCTTCCATTTTCATAGTAATAATTATATGGACATTGAATACACACACTTCTATTGTATGAACAGTCCAAGCAATTTGCGTCAATACATTCATATATAAATTCACACGTCTGAGTTTTAGAGTTATAGCGATACCCAAGTTCACATCTTTGTCCACTCAATATATAAAATCCACTCGCATTGTTCAAAGCTGCATTAAAATACACATTCCCATATTTCATGTAATTTTCGGATATAAAGAGAACGGTTTTAGTGAGTTTAAAAAGTGTTATAGTTGGCTTCGATATCGAATTAATTCCAAGAACAAACGTTTCTGTTTTACAGAAGAAAATATTGAACGTCCCAACCATCGCACTTTCATTATTAAGACTTGAAATATTTTGTTGCACCTTTTTGTAATGATCGAATTTTCCGTTTTCATTTGTCGTATTTATAGTTAACAGAAAAGAAGTGATGTTTTTCAATGGAGTCAAATAATAAGGCATTGAACTTGGTGGACAATATGGTTCTGTGAACTTAAATTCATTTTTCATATAATCAAAGTGCTCAACATGACAAAAGAAGTCGGTCAAATTTCCATATCTCAAAAGTTGTTTAAAGTACAGGTGTGTGCCTGTTGGGATATACCCATTATAAACACTTCTTGAACAAAATATGTCAAAGCTGTCACTATAAGTAATAAGTGGAAGATTGATAGTGTCGACTCGAGTGGTGATAATAATGGGAAAGTCTTGAATTGTTCGATTACTTAACACAAATTTGACATCATCGAGTGTTATACTGTTTTCAGCTGAAATAAAAGAGTTTCCAGAAATCAGAAAATGTGTATTACGGACTCGCAAAGAGTCACATTCAATTCGTTTAAATTCACTACTTGTGAATAAAATATATAACTAATTAGTTTTATTAAACTTTTGAATACAATTTAATATCACCTAATGTTAACATTGCAATTTAATTATAATAATTATAATTATATATATAATTATTATAATTATAATTATTATAAATATAATTATAATAATTGTAATAATTATAAATAAAATTATACTTTACGTTTTTATACCTACAATTTTCAATTCGTTTATTTAATTAAATATATAAAGAACATTCTCCATTTAATTTATACAATGGCATTCATCTATTAACTTCCACCAATTTTTATATTATTGCTTTATTTAAAAATATACCATACAATATGTTGTAATAAAAATATTCATTTTAATATCAAAACAACAAACAATTGGCTTGCACAATTTTCAACAACACCGTTTTCATTAACTGACGAATCAAGATAAAAATTTTCAACATTTGTAATTTCAATGTCTTTGAAAGTGTTCAATAGAGAATAAGAATTTATTTCAATGAAAGCTTGTTGTATTCGAATACTATCAGTTGCATTAACTAAAGATCCGGAGTTAATTAAAAACGTTGTATTTCCCTTTATTTCCAAAAATGATTTGATTTGAAGTACCGAGTTATTACAAATCTCAACATTTGCATTATCTAATACTCTGAAATATGAATAAGATAATACGTAAACGTTAAAACACATTTTAAAAAATGCCAACTCGTTTATTTCTATTTGCCCATGAGCTTCTAATTGAGTTTCTGAAACCAACGAAAAATTTGCAAATCCAAAAATGTTCAAAGCCGACGCCAAAATTATTTCCGACTTGTTCTCAGCCACAAAAGTCGCGTTTTCTAATATTTTTAAAAAACTTTGAGTGGTAAAATTGCAGTGATTGTTCATTCTAAAAATTGCCTCCCCCTCGATGTAAAATAGATTAAAACTATTCAACGTGGAATATTCGTTCAACGTCGTTTCCGATGAATTTTGTAAACGAACTTCTTCAGAAACTGTTATCTGTGAATTGTTAAATATACACATTTTGCTTGAGTCTTGTAGAATGAATCTCTTACTGACTGAAACATTCGAATTGTCAGAAACTTTGAGTGTTGAATATTCTGCACAGACGATACTATCTCCCAACACCCAATTCGCGTTATTTGAAATGGAGAAAATGGGTGGGTCGGTGTTTGTAATGTTGATCATGACGTCGCCATAAGATGTGCACATCTCTGTAAAATTGAGTGGTGATGTAATGGTGTTTTGAAATGGACACATCTGTGCTTGGGCATACACAAAGAAAAATATATAATAGAGATGTTGAACTAAAATCAAGAACATCATTTAAGTTTTTTAGTTGTTTTTCGTTCGTAAAATGCCGTTGTTTTTTTAATAAACTTTTTTATTTAATTCTTTTAAGTAAAACTATCCTTTACATTTTTTTCAACACAAAATAACAAAATTTACATTTTAAAACTAACGAAAAATATTTAATGTTGTTTTTATTTTTTAAATAAATAACATGATTAGAACAAGATCCAATATGTATTTTTTATGATATTACTAAAAACCATAAAATTAATGAAATTTTAAATAACAATTAAATTATTATATTATGTAAAGAGAATAAATGGACATGGGGATGAAGGACAAATAATGTTCTTTGTGTATTAGAAACGTCCTCTTGCTTTTAAGATATTTCTTTTTATTTTATTGGTGTTTGCTTATTTTTTCAAAACTATATAATTTGTTATTTTTTTATCAATAATTTACTATTAAAAACAAAAAAAATGTTTCTAAAAATAAATTTAATTACAGACAAACGCTATACAAAAAAATTTGGTAATAAATTAATGGTTTTAAAAAATAATTCATTTTTATGAAACATTTTGAGTCAACTATTAAAGTGGCATTTTTAATTTGTGGATCAAAAACTCCCTATTTTTGAGTTTAAAGAATCGATACAATAATATTATTGTGTCTTTTTGTTTCTATTGTAAGTTTAAAAGTACAAACAAAATATATTTGAGTTTATAACGGACGATTATGAATTAATTTCACAGTATTATATTTTATAATACATATTAAAACTTGATATAATTTGTTTTTATTGACTAATAACAAATTTAGTCTTTAAAAATACAAATGAACATGAACACCATTTAAAAACAACACACTCCATCTAGTTTTGAGATTGGGAAGTGGATTACAAATTTATAATTTTTGAAGGATATATAATAAAATACTGTTAACTAAAATTAATACAAAATCTTTATTAAACAAAATCACTTGCCATTAATTTTTTGAATGTTAAATTGATTGATTTTAACATTAAATTTAAAAGCTCAAGTTCTTTTAGTTAATCTCAAATAAAAGTTTAACATTTCAGTCAATTTTACGTTGTTGAGTCATTTCTATCTTATTTCTTTAAGGAATAAACTGTTTGAAAGTAAAAGTGTTTTTACAATTATTTAAAAACAATTATATTTGACACAACACACTAATTGATTAATGTTCTTACTGTTCACTTTTAAGCAATATTTATGTTCATAAATGTTTAAATTAAATATAAACAAGATAACAACATTGATTTAAAAATATGTTCAATCGATTGATTTCTTGTTATAATCAATATGATCATCGACATTGTAATTTGAAGATGGAGTCTCTCCAGTTGCATATGCCTTGTTTCTGTTGATTTTGGTTTTGTCATCAAAGCAGTGTACTAAAACGCCGTTAACACAAGTATTGCTCGTTAACAATTCTTCTGTTTTGAAGCAGTATCCTCCACAGTCTGGTGCTGGCATTAGACACTTACCCAACTTTAAGACGCCACTATTATTGAAAATCATATATTGGTACGAGATTTGGTTTTCAATATGGCATTCGTCGTTATAATACATCCCATTTTTATCCCCAAGTTCACACCCTTTGTTTTTATCACTCACAAAAGCAATGTTTCTAACATTGTAATCGAGGTTGAAATAACTGTGGCAGTTAGAAGACGTTTTTGGTGTTCCAGTACAATCTGGTGTTGTGTAAGTGTAATTAGTAAAACAAGAAAGATTGAATTTTTGACTGACTCCATCATAAGTAACTTTCTTTAATCCATCCCCAGTACGAATACATTTATTATCTTCATATATCCAATTTCTTGGAAAGACTATACAATCAGTTGGAACAGCTTCATACAACTTCTTTGTTGTGGAGCCAAAAGAAGTCGCGAATATAAAGAATGTGATAATAAACATTTTATTTGAATGTATTTTTTAGTCGCAAGTTTCTTTTTATTTGAATAATTTCTAATTAAAGACGCTATTAACTATATTTAATAAATACCCAAATTTGGTTTATTATATATTTTTAGGTTAATTGTTATAATTTTTAAATATAATATAATCAATTCTAAGTTCAATATATCCAAATACCGATGTGGCGATTTTAAGGGTATATTTATACATTTTAATCATCAGAACAAGACCCTGGTTTGCATTTTTTTCTGATAAAAACAAATTAAAAAATTATTTGTTTAAATGGTTAATTTGATTTGATTAACTTTAATGAAAACAAAACTTTCTAAAATGTAATTAAATTATTTTTTTTATTTTTATAATAATTATTGTCCATGACAAAGAAAACAAATACAACCCAATTTATTAATTATTAGATAATTTAAAACAATGTTTTGTATATAGTCTGTCTTTAAAGTTGTGTATTTATTAAACTTGTTATGTTGACAAAAATACAATATAATTATTTCAATCATTTTGAATTAAAAAAATATAAACTGGTAATTTTAATGTAAAAAATATTATTTTGGGGTACTTATATTCGTTTTATTATAGTGGGTTAAATAACACAAAAAATAAATCATATTAGACAACATTGTGAAATTGTTTTTTTTTCTAATAAATTTATAAATTCAAATAAAAAAAACAACTGAATATATTTAAAGAAATAGAATGTTTTGTTTTTATTGCAAAAATTAACACAATAAAAAAGTATATTTAGATAATAATTAGACCTTAAAACTTCAATGCTTGTTATATTCTTATTTGTTACAACTTCTTTGGGTCGAATTGATTTTGCTTTGGGTGCAGGAAGTGATTGTTATAGTTATGGCGATTTCAGACTTTACAAAAGAGACATGTGCAAAAGAACTGAAACTGGTTCTGTGATATACACAGCGGACAAGACGGGGATGTATATGATAGAAAAGAAATTTGCTTCAAAAGATTGCTCAGGAACACCAACAGTTCAAGATGCAAAATTTGAATACAGCTTTATGATTCCAAAAAGAGTAGACTATGTTGGATTTACAAGTGACAAGAATGAAGGTTGTCAATTAAAAGATAAGATTGATGGAGTTTACCATTCGTCGAGATGTTATCATGCACTTGGTTTCTACAAGTACGAAATTGCAACTGAAAACGGTAAACATTATTTAATGAAAAGATCATACAATACTGTTGACTGTCTTCCAAGAGACTTTGACAATAGCTATACGGAAAAGACATTGTGTAATGTCTGTGTCAATGGAGTGTTAACTATGTGTTATGGAGTTGATGGTGTTCCAGCTTATGTGGATTTCACAAAAGAAACTGCTGATCAGAGCACTGATATAGAGCCAAGCAAAACCCCCGAAGAAAGCAAAACTCCAGAGCAAAGCAAAACTCCTGAAGAAAATAAAAGTGAAGGAAGCACTACTACATCAGAGAATGGAGAGCAAAATAATAATAACAATGGAGAAGATAACGCTTTCAAAACTCTTGTCTTATTAGTTTTTGTCATTGCTACTATGTTTTAATTCAATGAATTTATTTATAATAGTAACATTTTTATAATTCTATTAACACAACAAAAAATGATAAACGATAAAATTATAATATATAATAAATCATTATTTTATATAACAATTGTATTTTAAAAAATTAAACTTTGGCTATTAAACTCTAACATACTCTCAACTATTGTTTTATTCTGAAAAAGTTCAAAAAATCATTGTAATTGCAATCAAATTATTTTTCAATAAATAAAAATATTTATATTAAGACTATTATTTCAGAAAAAAAATGATTTGTAATTGTCGGTATTGTTGGGACATGTTTTGCTGTTTCACATCGTTTTTACAAATTTTTAGAATTTTTAAACAATTGAAAAAGAATTTTATTGTATTTATTATTATTATAAAAAGTTGACAAAGTTTTTGTATTAAAAATATCAATTTTGATTAAGCCAGATGTCGAACTAGTTATTTTATTTTGAATAATCGAGATTCCAATTGTTCAAAGATTTATTAAAACATTTAATAACATTTTGTTCCAGGTGCTAAGACAATTTAGTGATTATTGGAACTTAATGTCAACACCATTCAACAATTTGATTTTTCACAATTGCAACGAATGACTAATGTAAATAAAATGAAGGGTGTCATACACTTGATATTAGATTGTTTTGTAAAACAGCACTCTGTTATAAAATCACTATAGTGACAACTGCAAGTGTTTGTGGTTTTGTGTATTATTTACTAATGGTGTCATCTCACAGATTTAACTTATTTAATATTAAAAAATATATGTAAATGTTTATTCTTGAAAACTTTAAAACAGAAAAATAAAAAAAAATAAAAATATAGTGAATGTGTCAACTGTGAAACTGCACACGAAAACTGTTCGAGTTGTTCAGTTGATGGAAATTGCACCGAATGTAAAAGTTCTTTTATGTTAAAAGAGGGTGTTTGTGTTGAGTGCTCAACTTCAAATCCAAATTGCCACGTTTGTGCAACGACAAGTTCGAGGTGTTTGTCGTGTGGTGTTGGGTATGGTGTTGATGATAATGGACAATGCCAGAAGTGTGTTGATGTGAATTGTCTTGACTGTGAGTTGTATGATAAGTGTTCAAAATGCAAAGAAGACACAATTCTCACAGACGGGAGTTGTGTGAGTTGCAGTGTTGACAACTGTAAGACGTGTGACTTGAATGGGTTTTGTGTTGAGTGCGAATCCAATTATTATCCAAATGATGGCGTTTGTCAAAGCTACGACTTGAGTTCTCTGAACTGTGTTGAAACGTCAACAACCAGAAACGAGTGTCTGAAGTGCAACATAAATTATTATTTGAAATTGGGCAAGTGCTATCCATGTAACTCGTTTGATCCCAATTGTGTTGAATGCAACAACAGCACATGTTTAAAGTGTTCAGAAGGAACATATCCAAATAGGGTTGGAAAGTGTTCGCCATGCAACAACATGGCAAACTGCACAAAGTGCCAACAAACAGCGCCCATTTGCACTGAGTGCTCTTTTACGTCCTCTCCAAATGGGCAATTGGTAAATGGGTATTGCAAAGATTGCACTGTTGACGGCTGTGTGAAATGCAAAACAAAAACGTCTGGTGCTAATGTGTATCCCGTTTGTGATATTTGTGCACCAGGGTATAACCTCAACTCAAATAATGAATTCTGTTATCCAAACACGATTGACGATTGTGAAGAGTATGAAAACAACACCAACACTTGTTCGAAAAGTAAAAATGGATTCACATTGAATGCAAATACATGTCAAAGTTGTTCCTCTACACTTTCTAGTTGTGAAGAATGCGCGTCAACATCAATTTGCACAAAGTGTTCAGAGGAATTTACTGTTGGCACAGACAACACTTGCCACACCTGTTCGGATGTAATGCCAAATTGTGATAAATGTTATTCTGACACTTCAAAATGCAAAGAGTGTGCAGTTGGGTATTACGTCACAGAAGATTTGACATGTTCGAGTTGTGATTCGGTGATATCGAATTGCAGTGAGTGTTACAATTTGGAAGGTGTCAAATGCACAAAATGCAATTTTGGGTCATACATTGAAAATGGAAAATGTGTTGAAGTCAAGGCAAACGAGTTCAAAACATCAGAAACTACTTCGAAAGCGTGTCGCCTTCAAATACAAAACTGCTACAGCTGCAACTACACGACAAGAGGCGCCACTTTTGACACTGCAGTCGAATGCAACAGATGTCTTGATGGGTATGGCTTTGTTTCAAGCACAACGAGAGTCTGTGAGATCTGTCACAACGAAGTTGATAAGAGTCAAGTTTGCATTACATGTGAAGATGGGTGCAAGAGATGCTTCATAAAAAATGATGTTACAAAAACAACGTCATGTGTTTCTTGCGAAGATGGATTTGCATTGAGGAATGGAATGTGTCTTAAAATAGAAAACCGTGAGTATTGTCTTGATGAGTTGCACAATGTCGGCTGTGAGTCGTGCGCCAACTACTATTCGACTGTTGAAATTGGCACGAAGTGCTCACCGAATAACAGAAACGCAACTTGTTCGTCTACAACGAAAAGGGTGAGTGTTTTGAATATAACGACAAACCAAAAGTATCATATTCAATCAAAACAAAAGAAGTGAGTGACGTCAATTGCCAAGAGGGTGAATACCAGAAAGGGCACTGTCTGTCTTGTCGACTTGGTTTTGCCCCAAACTTGTCAAGTCCACCCGTTTGTACAAATTGCGGGTGCAGAGAGTGCAACAAGATCAACGAGTGCAAAATATGTATCAGCGAATCAAACAACAACATTGGAATTTGCACAAGTGACAGCAACCGCTTTTCAACTACAAACAACACCTGTTTGAAATGCACAGATAATCATTACATAACAAATGGAAAGTGTGAAGTGTGTGATCAGAGTTGTGTGTCGTGTTCAAGTGACAACAAAAAGTGTTTGAAATGTGAAGATGGTTTTGTACTAGTGAATGATGAATGTGTTTCGCTTGAAGAGTCAAATTGTGTTATTCAAAATGATGTTACATGTCGTTGTGAGTTATGTAGAGAAGGGTTTGTGTTTGACGCATCAAATAAGTGCAAAGAAAACAGTATAGCAAATTGTCTGAATGAAAACTCAAACAAGTGTGTGAGATGTCTACCAACAACTCTTTTGGGTATTTCCAACAGCGAAACGGTTTGTTCTAAAAGTGCAACAATAAACAACTGTGAAATTCAAAGCTCAATCGGTTGTGCGAAGTGCGAAAGTGGGTATTTCATGAATGGGATAGAGTGTGAGTGATGTGATAAGAACTGTGAGAAGTGTGACACAAATGCAACGACATGCATATCTTGCTATTTTGGGTTTGTTCTCAACGTGCAAACGAATCACTGTGATTCGAGTGAAGATATAAAAACCTCATGTGTCAAATTTTTGAGTGATGGAGGATGTGCAATATGCCAAAATGAGTATTATTGGCAAGGGAGAAATTGCTACAAGTGTGGCAACAACTGCACCACTTGTTCGCAAAACGAAGGCAATTGCCTGACGTGCAATCTGGAAAACGGATTTTATCAGAACGACACAAATGGGATTCATTGCATTCCAGTGAGCAAACTTGCAAACTGTTTGAAGTATGATATAATTGGATGTGTTCAATGTAAGAATGGGTATTTCTTGGACCGAGAAAAGTGTGAGAAATGTACTAAAAATTGTGAGTTGTGTGTGTCATCTGATTTTTGTCAAAATTGTGTTGATGATTACGTTTTAGTCAAAAGTAGATGTGAATATTACACAACAATAAAGTATTGTGCAAGTGCTACAAATGGTTTATGTTCAAGTTGTACACCAAAATATGATCTTTCAATTGATAAATTAAGTTGCTTCAAACATCAAAACAAAACGCTTTCGATTGCACTTCCCGTTGTAATTACAGTCATTATAATGATAGTATTAATAATCACAATGTTTGTGGTGTGTCTCTTTTACAAATCACACAAATCAAAGAAAATACTACAAAAGACCACATGCGAGTTTTCAATGAAAAAGTCAAACATCAACTTTATTGAATATTCTCCAGGAGTCACGTTGAACAAAACATCACTCGACTTCTCTGTTGACTTTGATACAATTTGTTCACTTCCAATTGACAAACCAAGTCGTGACCTCCTCTGTGTTGGAAACAACTCAAAACATACTGTGAAAGTCCAACTGACGTATAAAACGACAAGTGAAAAATACGCCATCAGGGTAACTCCATCTCTGGCAACACTGTCATCTGGGAAAGCTGTTGAATTTGAAATATTTGTAACACCTCTGTGCACGTGTAGCATCAGTGAAACTATTGCAATTGTCCTTCTTAATACGTCGAAGGGTGAGCAGATGTCCCTCAACTTTCCCATCAAGTTTGAGAGTGAGAAGTCGAGTCACCTTGATGCTGACGAAGTAATTTGTGAAAAGAAGATAGGTGAAGGCTCCTTCGGTGTTGTTTACATTGGTAATTACATTGGGAACAAAGTAGCAATTAAAAAGATGAAAGAAGTCGAACACAATGAAGAGTCAATGGAAGAATTTAAAAAGGAGGTTGAGATGTTAGATAAGTTCCGTAGTGAATATGTCGTTCACTTCTATGGCGCCGTCTTTGCACGTAAAAAGTGTGTATGGTCACTGAATTTGCGACATATGGAAGTCTTCAAGACTTGATGAAACACAAAACTTCGAATGAAATTAACATGAAGTTAAGAGTGAAAATTTGTCTTGACGCTGCTAAAGGTATATTGTATTTACACGAAAATGGGATATTACAGAGAGACATCAAACCAGACAACATTTTAGTCTTTTCACTGGAGACTATCGAAAAGGTTAATGCTAAATTGACTGATTTTGGAAGTAGTAGAAACGTCAATTTACTAATGACTAACATGACATTCACCAAAGGGATTGGAACACCAACTTATATGGCACCCGAGGTTTTAAAAAAAGAAAAGTACAAGATGAGTGCTGACATCTTTTCATTTGGAATAACAATATACGAGTGTGTTGGGTGGTGTGAGGCGTACCCAAAAGATGAATTCAAATTTCCATGAAAAATAGCAGAGTTCGTTATTTCTGGAAAGCGTGTGAACAAAAATCCATCAATGAGTGATAACATTTTCAACATCATTTCTGAATGTTGGAAACAGGATATGAACAATCTTTCAAAAATAGAAGACGTTGTTCACACTTTAGAAGTGTGTTAAACAACAATTACAATTTATTTTTCATAAATAATAATTTACTATTTAAACATAAAACGAGTTATAGCAGTTGCTATTCTTTTAAATGCAAAGTGTGACATATTTTTTTAAAAATTATAATTATAATATTTCTTTTTTATTGTGTTTTTTTGTTACTAAATGATAGGAGGGTATTTTAACATGATTATGGTATATTCTGATTATCCATTATTTTGAATTGATTTGCATTTTATTGATAACAAGTTGTTTTTATTAAGGTTTTTGATATCAATAATTACAAACATTTAAACACAAATTGTATTAACATTTAACTAATTAATTAATTAATAATATTTTAAAATGTTTATTATTTTTGTGAAATTTAACAAAATATAATTATTAACTTAACCACAATTATAATTATTATCATTCAAATGTCAAACCTAAAAAAATTATAGTTCAGAGACTGAATTAATTTACAAATATGTTTTTTCTTTTAATGGACAATTACTATTGTGGGCGCCTTTAAGCATTCGACTTGATGATGACTATGATGTATGCATTTTTGGTTTCACTGATATGCGAATAATCCGCTTGTTAAATTTAGGCAATTGCCATGGTGTAACAACACCAACAGAACCCTTGGTTCATTACCCTCTTGATGTATAGTATTTACTACCATTTCCATGGTATTCATGTATTTATTTAAATGTGACAACTGTTAATATCTTTTTGGTCCCAGCCAAATAGAGGTTGGTATATTTAGAAACCAGTTTTCAGTCATTTGATAACCATTGTATGAGACGCTGTCCGAAGTGAGTTTCGCTTCAATAGGAACAAACAGTGTATCTTTATGTAATTGTTTGATCATATAAAAATGTGTTTTAATATTGTTCTGTGTTTTTTATTTTTGTTATTCCAGTAAAATAGAATATACTTTGAATTGACTTTTGTTGTTTTTCTTCTTTTTAAGGTAGTATATAATTTTTACCGTATTTTGCTTTTTATAATTAAAAAATTTCTGGTAGTTAAGCCGAAAAACACATTGTACAGTAGAAAATAAAAGTAATTGTAATACAAAAAAGAACTATAAATTGTACATTTTTACTATTTTTAAATTATTGTGTTTTTATTATCTACCTTACATTATTAAGTTTTTTTCATATTTTTTTTAATTTTTATGTTATAATAAATTTTACATTGTTTTAAAAATCTATAAACTTCAATAATACCAGTTAATAATTATACAAAATACCTATTTTTTATTTGTTTTTTAAAAAATTGTTCGTTTTGATTTTTGATTGAATGGAGTTATTTATAATAATGTCAAAGCAAAAAACATCAAAGATATGCTTTGATAATTAAATAAAACAATAATATTTGTATATTTTTAATTTTGAGCATTTTATTCCTGTGACTGGAATATAGTTTACAATACAGATGTTTATATAACTTTTATAGTTGGTTTGAATTATTATTGTTGTTATATTTAAGAATATTATTTCTGTTTATGAATAAGTATTCAAAGAAAAAATGTAGTTTTAATTGGTTTTTTATCTATTACCAAAATGGTTTTATCATCATAATTGGACAAAACTTTTATTTCTTATTGATTTTTATATTTAGACTGTGAACATAATGCTCATTTTAAAACCTAAACATCGCTTTTAACTTGTTTCATCACCAACATATATAAGTTGTATACATTTGAACTTCGAAATATTTAAAAATACGTTTAAACAACAAATGTAAACAACGTTTTTTTTGAAAAACATGTTGTTTCAAATTAAAATTTCATCAAGTTTTATAAAGTTAAATATAATTAGACAGCCTTTGTTTCTGAAATGCTTTTCAAACATATAAATTAATTGTCAAATTTGACTTCATTTAATAAAACAATTTAAAATATTTTATAGCATGTAACGCTAATATCAAGTTCATACTTATCGACATTTTTTGTATATCGTATTGTTTTTAGGCAACAAAGTTAAATATGAAAAACCTTATGGAATTACTTGTATTTTTTTATTTTTTAATCTGTATATTTATAACTAAAACTTGTGGCAGACGTATTTTTGTTGATTCTGTTGATAATTGGACTCATTATAGAATCCTCAATATCAACAATTACCGTATGACTTTAATAATTAGTGTATGAACATATTGAACATATATAGTGTTTATAAATATATCTCATCTTTTAAATTTATTTCAGCGCCTTACCTTTTTGGATGATGAATAATTGTAATGAAAAGTCGGTTTTTTAATTAAAAAGTGTTTGTTCCAATCATTTCAATTTGTCAAAAAAATAGTTATCAATATTATTGGTTTACTATAACAACCAATTTATATAAATTTACATGTCAATGAATATTAATTCTGTAAAGTGTAAGTACTTTTTCTTTCCACAACTAAATTCGTTAATTGTGAAAATCGGAGAGTCTAGTACAAGTACGTTCTAGACATTTAATAATACTAGTGTTGTATTATATCATTTATACATTTTAAATATAAATAATAAATGTATTTAAATTTAAATGTTGCAGACAATAATGTCACTTTTAACTTATATTTTTTGTATAACAATTCAAAAGTCTGCACTCAAATTAAGAACACAAAATGTGGCGTTAAATTTTGTTTTGAAAGTATAAAATATCAATTAAAGACAATCTAATTTATTTAAACTTAATGGTGTCAAGAAAATAATAATACAGTGCTCATTGGTTTCAAATCGATAATATTTTTTAATAAATCGATTATGTTTTTATATTTTCGACAGTATTTTTTATGGTTTATATTGTATTTAATGAATTATATTACTTTTAATGAAATAGACTGTGTTTTTTATAAATTATATAGCATTTAATGAAAGTGATTATATTTGTTATAAATTATATGGCATTTTTCTAATTTATACAACATTTTTAGTAAAATCAATAGTTTTTTTCTAAAATATATAGGATTTTTGATAACTTATATAACTTTTGTTTGAAAATATTTTGCTTTTTTTACAAATTATTGGATATTCCCGAATATTAGGAATAAAAATACACATAATAAGCAAGTTATTATTTGTTAAAAATACTTAATATGTAACTATATTTATACTATTATATAACTAAATTTTAATCTATTTTTATTATTTATTTTAATACAAATTTTCACAATTATGACACATAATACAAATAATAAATTTATAATATAACTTTATCAATAATTATTACAAATATTTTATTATTGAATATATAATTATATATATTATATATTATATATATCATTATAATAGACTAATAAATGAACTATATTAACCATACATTGTTTAAAAACATTTGATTAAATATTTTCTTGGTTGTACACTCGAGGCCACACAATTTCCCTAACATTTTCAAAACAACTTTGGCACTCTTCTGGTTTAATAGTTAAAAAACCATCTCTGATTTTTTCAAGAAAATTTTCGATGCCATTCCAAGTCCTCACATTTTTTTCAACCCTACTTTTCCAGATCCCAAATATATTTTCAATTGGGTTTAGTGCTGGTGAGTACGCAGCATTAAATACGACAGTGTGGTTTGTATTATCTAGCATTCTTCTCATAGTGTTGTGAATATCACAATTATCCACCCAAAAAACGCATTGTCTCTGTTTTAAATCATACTCATGAATTAGGTACCGGAAGTAGTCTTCGAACGAATTTAACGTGTTTGTTCCACAAACCACATTGCAATAAGAGAGTCCGTCACAATCAACTGCGCATATGGAGGTGAGGCGAAGACCACCTTTTGATTTTGTGATGAAGGCTTCCTTCCCTCTAACTGACCAGCCATATGCAGGAGTTGATGCTACAGTCCAACTGGTTTCATATATACAAACCCAACGTGCTCCACCTGTTATATAACCCCTTAGAGTGTTTACTGCTGCAATTCTTTTTTCTTTATTATCTGGCGTGTTGCTTGTTGGCCCTCTTGTCTTTGTTCTTTTGAAAGAAAAAATAGGGACTTCTCTCTCTTCACCTGTTGCTGTTTTACCAGTCATGAAATTTCCAATTGATGATATCGAAGGTGCATAAAGATCAATGTCCTCTTTAGTAACAGCAACCTTGGATATTTTTGGAATATCCAAAATGATTTCGTCAACATCTTCTTCTTCGCGTAATTTTTCTTCTTGTGCTATCATTTTTCTAATTGAAGTTATTTTTGTTGTTGTGTCTTCTTTAATAGCTTTTTCTACCAATTTTTGAAAAGGTAAAGTACGGCTTTGTCTTCTATAATGATTTTTTGGATATATTGATATCCCTTTTCTTAACATTGAAAGATACTTTTCAATGTTTATTTTTTTAATCCCAATTATTTCTGAATATCGTGAAGCATTCATGTTATCACCATTTTTACTCCATAGTTCAACCAAAGAATCTCTTTGATCAATTGTAACACGAGAATAAGGTCGTGTATTTGTTTTCTTCTTTTTTGAATCCAATTTTCGGGGCCGACCCCGTGATCTTTTTTAAAGAGGTGGGATATCTTGATGGGGCAACATTACAGGTTGTACAGGTTGCCCTTGCATGGATAATGGTGCATTTTCATGATAGTCGTTTCTTGCTCCTGGATCTCTTCTGTCGATATAATCCAATTGCATGATATCATTTTTGCCCGTTATTTAAATATACATAATTATGTTAAAAAAATATCCTCATTGTGAAGAGGTTCTAAATAAAAATAGATTAAAATTTAGTTATATAATAGTATAAATATAGTTACATATTAAGTATTTTTAACAAATAATAACTTGCTTATTATGTGTATTTTTATTCCTAATATTCGGGAATATCCAATAATTTGTAAAAAAAGCAAAATATTTTCAAACAAAAGTTATATAAGTTATCAAAAATCCTATATATTTTAGAAAAAAACTATTGATTTTACTAAAAATGTTGTATAAATTAGAAAAATGCCATATAATTTATAACAAATATAATCACTTTCATTAAATGCTATATAATTTATAAAAAACACAGTCTATTTCATTAAAAGTAATATAATTCATTAAATACAATATAAACCATAAAAAATACTGTCGAAAATATAAAAACATAATCGATTTATTAAAAAATATTATCGATTTGAAACCAATGAGCACTGTATTCTAATGTAATGTATCAAAACATTGTTATAAAAAGTTAATTAATTTACGTTTTAATTTTATTTTTTCTCCTCCTTCTTTTCAGTGGCAGCAGCTTTTGTTGTTGCTTCCTTTGGTACAGTAGCAGCTTCTTTTTTGCTCATTTCTTTGGCATGTTAAATTAATGATTTAAAAATAATTTTTTATTTTTTATTTTACTTTTATTATTGTGCTTATTAACACAGAATATTTGCTATTTAATTATCAAGATAAACACTGTAACAAATTTTTAATTATTTTTGATGTATCATTTTTTTGTTAACAACGTAATAAATAATAATGTCGATTGAGTAATCAGTATACATATATAATCATTTTGTACCTTTTCAATTTATTATAACATTAATAATGTTGAATTGAATGATAAGTTACTTTTAGTTTTTATTTGTTCAATTTAAATAAAAATGTTTTTGTTTTATTAATTTATTGAATAAACAATTTGTTTTGTTTGATAAGGTTACAAAAAAACTTTTGTTGTAAAGTTTTGTTGAAGAACTACAATAATCTGTTCTATTTAAGTCGAGTTTGGACTGTTTTTTTTCAATCGTTAATACACATGCCAAAGAAGAAAGAAAAGAAGGGGAGCCGCTGCTTCACCAAAGGAAGTAACACCCAAAGCTGAAGACACCGAAAAGAAGGAGGAGTATATTTAAAGTGTGATTAATAAATTTATTATCAATGTTATGTTTTTGTAACACAAAGTTTAATGGTTTTATTTTATCTTATTAACCATGTTATAAAATAATTTAAAACTGAAAATAACGTCACATGTGTTTATACACCTTTTAAAGATTTATTCAAATTACCATGTAAATGATATTTTTTAAAAAACATATTTGAAGCTTATATTCTCGTTAAATATTTTTATTAAGTTTTATAATTAAAAAACAGAAAATATTTTTTAAATAACATATGAATAATTGAATTACAAAAAAATATAAAACATGAAATAATGTTCAACAATTATAATAAGAGACTCAACTGAAAAAATTAATTGTTGGATTAACAATGATTTATAAAAGAGTTTATAAGCAACGTTTATTATAAATGTCCACTAATGTAATTATTAGAAATGTTTTTTGAAATAAGTGAGAATTTAACAATCATATTTTTAATTATGGTTATTAAAACTTTTCAGTAAAACTATTTCGATTGTTTTACTGAAATATTTAAATTAAGGTTGCACTTTAAAGAATAAAAAGTTTTATTTTATTTTTCTTCTTTTTTTTAATCAGTCACCCTCTTCGAAGGTTTCCAAAATCACAATCCTAATTACTTAAGTCACCATTTAATAATCAAAATGTTCATTTTCTTTTATAAATTCGTACGTTATAATATAACATTTTTGGCAATAATTATTATTAAAACGTCTAGCCTTATTTTTGCAAAAGTATTATGTGTTTTATCTAAAACTATATAATAAATTTATAAAACAACTCTGTACAATAAACAAAACTATTTTTATTTTATGTTTTTAATAATTGGATTTAAATATTGTTATTTATCTTTAACCCTAAAAGATAAAAAAAGTGAATCATTACTATATAATATTTTTATTATAAATTATAATTCACTCATCGAGTTTTCGTGAACTATACATAATTAATAGAAATTATAAACTATTGAACCCTGCCACATCACGATATGTATATAAAGAACGGTAAATTACATTCAATCCTTCTCGGCCTTTATGGCTTTGATCAAGTGTAGTATCTGTTCTAGCAAGCTTAATATCTTGCTCACCTCTACGGAGGTGCAAATATTAAACAATTTTTGCGCTGGGGTTTAGTCGTGTTGAGGCTTGCCAAAGACACGACTAGACAAGAATGTGCTTGGCTACGGCCATGTCGCATTCGCCCTCTATTTAACTTTATTATATTTTTTATTATATATTAACTTTTTATAGTCCATTTGAATTTATTTCAATAAACTATTTTTTATAATAATATATTTATAAAAATTAATACACCACAATTCTATTATTTAATAATATATTATTATAAAATTAATAATTAAAGAAAGTCAATAAATTACTCTTACTCCAGCCAGAAGTCATCCTTTACGATACTTTCTTTGATCTTGTCAATGTACTGCTCGAATTCTTGGCTAACTAACACTTTGAACATCTTAACAGGTGTGTCTTCAACGAATTTAATAACTCTAATGATTTTATCTGTTAATTTCTTATCTTTGGTATAGTTTTCGATCTTCTCATAAAGATCAGTGTAGATTTGATTGAAATTTTCTTGAGTACTTTCAAATCTTGTTCTGATCCTATTGTTCTCTTTTTCTTCACACACCATGAGTTCAAATTGGTAAATGTGTTCCGATACATAGCAACAATCAAAATTATCACAGACCTTGTCCAAGAGGTCTTCGGCTTGAAAATTTTTGAAAGTGAAATACAAATTTGAAACTTGATGAATTTTATCTTTGTTTGGAAGAACTTCAAGACGGTGCGTGTAGATGTTTTGCTCACCAATGTACTTCACAAAAACGTCGACGATTTCTGGAGTCACAGTGACGTCTTCAAATTCGACTCTGAAACGTGTATAAATATATGCATATTGCGACAAGAGATTTTTGTTATTATTACATAATATGACAATTAATTCTTCGATGTTTTGATACAGTTGTAGAATGTCTTCTTCCTCTTTTTTAAATTCAGGACTTTCAGTAATTGTTTTTTTCTTTCGGTCATATAAACTTTGATTTTTAATATGTTGGTGTTGTTCCCAAGCCGTTTCAATTAATTTGCGTTGCTCAAAGGCAAGTTTCACTTCATTTTCAGCTTTTCTATACTCTTCATCTTTCTCTATCAACACGGGAATTGACTTTTGTTACTTCGGCATTGTTTCTTTCAATTTACGAGTTTGACGTCTTTATATTTGTGAGATATGTTTCATACTTTTCATCCCAAAAAGAAATGGGATGAAAAGTATGAGGCATATTCCATACAAAAGAAACAATTGCTTTTTAGATATAACTATATTTATAGTATAATTTATAGTATTATATTCCAATTGAATCGATGAGTTTACATGTTTGTTTGAATAGTTATATTTTAGTTGTTAAATCTGAGTTATACAATTTATGATAATAGATAGAGTATTATATTAATATATTTTTAGTGCTTAGCAGTTTGTGAACAGAAGTGTTTTCCTATTTTTTTCAAACTGAAAAAAAATCACATTTAAGACGTGACCACCGTTAGACTTTTAATTTTTATAACATACAAAAAATAAAGCGTGCATACTTTTTGTGTGTTATTAATGATGCATCAAACGTGGACTGAAAAAATACAATATTAAAACTAAATCGTGTATTATTTAGAATAACTTTTAGTTTTTGGATTTGAATTTATATTAATATGTATGCGTGTTATAACAATCATATTTTTGGTATTGGAAGGGTTAAAAATGAAAAATATTAACTGTATTATATTGTAAAAATGAAGTTGTCAAAAAAATGTCAGATGATTCTTTTATTTTAATTTTATATTTTGGGTGTGTCGAATCATAGGTATTACTGACACTAAGCGAAAAATAGTACCATTTCAACGAACATTTTATGAATCATAAATGTAAAACGTTGTCGTAATATTATAATATTACGACAACCGATATTTAATCGGTAAATATCATATTATTATGATATTTACCGATTTTTAAACAGTTTATTTTTCATTCAATATTATTCAAAACGTCAATAAAAAATTATAATTTCTAGTTTTATATTTAAATACTGGTTATCTTAAAACTGAAAATATAAATATTTAAAATAACGAACTGTGAAATTAAATGTCAAAAATAGATGTGTATCACATGATGATTGTTTCCAAATATTTTTCAACAATATACGACTTTATATCGATTGAATTTGTCTGCAAAAAGTATAATGGTAACATGGAAAAGTTTCACTTTAATCCAATTGCACTTACAAACAAAACAATAAAATATTTTAAATCAATTGAAACGCTGAATTTATACACCAAAAATGATGAAACTTTTGGAAGTACTTTTGATTCAAATAATACCAAAGAAAATTCATTCAATAAAAAAGAATTTTACAAAGTAAATGTTTTATACCCAGTTGACTATGACAAAGCTTATCAACACAAAATTTCCACTTTTGTTTTCAGAGATGTGTGTTACACTAAAACAAACAGAATAATGTTCGGCGACTCTATTCCGTGCACCAACAACATTAGAATAACAAGACTTGGAAACGATGTGTATTTTGGCTGTGACTTGATGACTTCCATACACATTCCCACAACCATTTCTATAATTGGGAATAACGCATTTAATGGTTGTGAAAAAATTTCGTCGATTGAGCTTTCTGAAAACGTAAAAAATTTTGGGATTAATGCGTTTGGTATGTGTTTATCTTTACTTGAAATAAAAATTCCAAAATTAGTCAAAATCATTCCAAAGTGGTGTTTCGCTGAGTGCATCAAACTTTCACGCGTAAACCTTTCAGAGAATTTAATTGAAATTGGAGAAGAAGCGTTTTTCAATTGTCACTCTTTACAATCAATAAAAATTCCAAGTGGAGTTTCTTATATTGGACAATCTGCGTTTAATGAATGTGAAAAGCTGAGTGAAATTATATTGCCAAAGAGTATTTCGGACATATCATATGGCTGTTTTGCAGGGTGTTCAACTCTCACTAAAATTGCTATTCCCGATACAGTCAGTGTTATAAACTCAATGAGTTTCTTTCAATGTAAGAATTTGCAGATTTTGGAATTGCCAAAAAATCTGCAAGTGATTGGAAACGAGGCATTTGGCGGATGCACATCACTTGTTAGTATCACGCCATACGGTACAATTATATCGTAACGTAGAAATGCTTTTAGACATATTAATAAGTAAAGAAATGAACTATTAGATTTAATTTCTTATATTTATATTGTTGTTCATTTTTTAAAGCAGTTCTATATAGGAGTCAAAATTTATAACATATACATTATTTTTATTGTTTTATTGTTACAAAAAGTTTTTATCTTATCAAATATAAAATTAAATCAAAAATGAAAATAAAAGCAATATCGTTTTAGAAAGGTAAAAAGTTGTTGTCAATATACAAAGAAAGCAACTTATTTATTTACTTATTAACATCCAAATTTTTAAAATAAAGTCACAATTTCCCAATATTTTATACAATTCATTATTAACATAAATATATTGTTAGTGTAAATAGCTTGGTCTATTTTTTTGTTTGTAATAAGATTCTCTTTGGTGTTTTTAACTTGTAAAAATTGAGTTGCCTTTTACGCCACCACCAATTTTAAAAATTGTTTTATTGTTCCACTTCAAATAATATGCAAATTATAATTATATTAATTATGAAAATAAGTATAATGATTTACAACAATATTATTAAAAAAGTCACATCCAAATAAATTTAATAAATATTTTAAGTATAATAAAATTAAATAAAATTTTACCATCAAAAAGTGTGGACAAAAAATAATAAAAAATAATTATATTTTTAGTTTTTAAATTATATCCAAATATGTACCACGTCATTGAAGTATGTCAACAGAGTGAATATAATCCACCCAAAACGAATTAATACAAAAGATGCAAATTTTTGTGAAGACTCTTACTGGTAAAACAATCACATTGGAGGTCGAGCCAAATGATTCCATTGATGCCATTAAGGCAAAAATTCAAGAAAAGGAAGGCATCCCACCAGACCAACAGAGACTCATTTTTGCAGGAAAACAACTTGAAGAAGGTAAGACCCTTTCTGATTATAACATTCAAAAGGAATCAACACTTCACCTTGTTTTGAGATTGAGAGGTGGGTTTTAAGCATATTGTCTTTGCATTGTGCTTTGTAATTCAATTTACGTGATTACTTTTTATATCGAATTTAAATGTTATCTGTTGTGTTAAAACAAAAAAAAATGTATTTAAATTAAAAACAATACAAACGAGATAATAATAAAATGCATTTGCCGGGACTCGAACCCGGATCTCCACCTTGGAAGGGTGGAATTCTGCCCTTAGACCACAAATGCTTGTTTATTTTTTAATTAATCAGAATAAGACAATTAATGTGTATATTTGATATCTATTTATTATCGAAATATTAAATGTATTTGAAACATCAACAATAAACATTAATTTTTTTGTACTACTGACACAAGAATTATAATTATATCTAAAATATAAAAAACAGCTGGATTTCTTAACACATTTTAGTTAATATTTAAATTATGTATTTAGCCACTTGTATAATTTGACTGGGTTGAAAATAAAAAACAAGTATTTTTGATATTATCATTATTTTTTTTCAAACCAAGTTTGTCCAAAGAACATTTATTTGAGCATATTTTTTAACTTTTCATTATTATTAAACCTGTTTATTTATATGAGTAGTGAAAAAAAAACTAAATTTTCATATTTGTATATAAAAAATAATTGTCAGAATTGTTGTACAAATTTAACTTTAGACGGTTGATTAATATTTTTTTAATCAGTTTACTCTTAAGTAGTATAATCAAACAAAACATGTATATTAATCAACAAAGACGATTATATATCTTATTTTGTTTTTTTAAAAATAGTCTATTATAAATCGAAGTTTTTATTATTTATTTGAAGCATTATTTTGTTTATAAACATTTCAACAACAAATTATTTAATTAATAATATAGAAATAACATGTTCAAGCTTTCAAAACAATGAGCCTTGAACAGATCAATGATTGTCTATCTTTTGTGTCAAAATCCACAAATGGATTGAAAGTTTGATTTTGGACATCATAGAAATCTCTAACACAAGGATTGAAAGAGATGGTCCCCTTTTTGTCCATCCAAAACGCCGAGAATACGGAAATAATCATTTTGTTGGAGTCTGGGTAAAGTATAAAGGAACTTTTATTTTGTGTTTTTCTCAAGAACTCGGAGGGAGTAGAATCCGTCAATTTGAAAGAAAACAAAAAGAAATTATCCGATTCGGCATTTATTGAATTTGTTTTGGATGGTTGAACAAGTTCATCTTGGTAAAATCCAAATATATCTCCATTAACCCTGAATATGAAAATGAGTTTGTTTTTGCAGCTGACAACAGAACGGAGTTCTCTTGAATCAAATCCCGAAACTTCTGAATCAAATTCAACTTGAAGATCATCGGTCATTGTCTTTGAAACCAAGAAATTGTATAAAACGTCATTGCCTGAATACTTTTTGTTAATTTCAGTCAATAAAAAATTTTCGTTTTTGTCTTTTTGAACTTCTCCAAGACGTGGCTTTGAAAAATGTCTTATTCTGAACGATAACTTATTTTTTAAAGAAAGTGAAGTGTCTGACTTTGATTTGGATAACGTCGTCACAGCATTTCCTTCATTTGAGAATTGAAGTGGTTTTGAAAATTTAACAGTCTTGTGCTTTTTGAATGATATACGAGTTTCAGAAGTTTCAAAAGATACAACACACTTTTCTGGTTGTGTCACATATTCACTTCTTATAGAGCCTGGTATCGTAGTTGTGTTTCCCATTTGTTTTTGTGGTATACTGAATTGTATTATTTTCAGTTTATATACAGGGTTGTCATTTTTTTCTTGTCATTTTTAGAGTGCACTAAACTTGTCAATTAAATGAACAAAAAGAAACAGTATATCGACTTTTTTATTCATTACCTCCATTTCCCAAGTCATTTTTTGATTTTTTTTATTCTTATGTTATTAAAATATCATATATATGATCTGTGCCAATATTTGGGAAAATATGCAAAACTGAAAAAAATTTCAATTAAGTATTGTAATGTAAAAATAATTTAAAAAGGCGTGAAAATAAGGGGTCGTTTTTTGTTGAATCAAAAGTATAATAATGGACAATATTGAATAATATATTATATACTTAGAATATCAATAAAATATAATAATTGTACGAATGTAACTGGTTTTAAAGGATATTTAAAAAACTCAGCTATTTATTTAACAAAATAACTAGCCTGGTTAAGTAAAAAAATATTAGCGTTTTCACAATATCAAATATTCATTAAAAACCTGTTTTTTATTTGATTGGATTTGAGGTAATTATTATATTTTTGAGTTTTACATACTTTATTTGTTGCTACAATTGGGTTATCATGGAATAATTTTTGTTTTGATCAATATCCAAGTAAAATTTTATCCATTATCTTATCTAACATATAATAATTATTCCCAATCATATAAAATAAATGGCTTCAAAATTTATATTTATTATATATAGAACACCTTTTTTATTCCAATACATAATAAATATTTTTATTGTTTTGGTTTGATAGTATTTTTTAAAATAAAAATACAATAACAAATATCATTGAAATTTACAATTTTATATTTATATATAAAATAATACTACCCCAAATTTTGTTTTTAAAACAATATTATTAAGATAATTTGTGTTCATATTCTAATTCTAAATAGATTCGATTTAATTTGTAGAAAACCATGAAAATTGAATTTTTTAAATAAATTAATAAACAATAACCGTTTGCATTATTTATTGGGTCATTTGAACTTAAAATGAATTCAAATGGAAAAAAATATAATACCGAGTTGTACATAATCATACTAATTAATTCTAATTCGACATTTTATTGTATAATTATCATGTTAAAATCCACTTTAGTCCATCTAATCTACTGATTATGCTATTCAATATTTATGTATAATACGGCTAAAAACACTTTAACATCAAATGACACAGTAAAACACAATATAACAACAATTTAAGGAGCTTTTTCTTTTGTTCTTTACTGATAAATTCATACTTTAAATATAAAATAATGAAATAATAAAAATAATTATGTATTAATTATAATTTATTGACAAACAATTTTAAAAAATTGTTTTATTGATAACAAAACAAAAAGAAATTGCAAAATATTTTTTTTGTCAACATAAGTCATTTATACGTTTTAATAAATTTTGAGTTATATGTTTATTGTTTTTAACATTTTTAAAATTTAATAGTGTCAAATTTTTAAAAAAATACTACAAACAAACAAATTAATAAATTACTGATTTTTATTAAAATTTACAAAAACAACACTGAACTTTTTAAAAATAGTTTTTACATACTATTTATGGTTTTCGTGGTATTATATAAAGAAACCCAACTTTCGATCTGTTGGGTTTCTTTAGTTATGAACGTGTCATATATTGAAGTGTCTTTCCTAATTCAGACAACGTCATTTTTATAATCTATTTTATTAATATTTTGACGCACTTGTTTAAAATGTTGGTAATTTGTGGTTATATTATTTTGTTTTTAAACTTGATGTTTTCATTTTTTACTTCGTAATGTTAATTGTTGTATGGCAATATTTTTAAAATACAGAGTACAGTGACTTGACATGTTTTTTAACCATTTATAAAATACAAATAATTGTGAAAAAAAAACAGATAATATGTTATTTGAAATTTAAATCGAACTTTATTATTTGTTGTATTTTTTTATTCTGTATTTTTGTTAAATTTGTGTGTTTAAATTGTTTTTGACTCATTGATAATTTAGAGCATACTGATATAAACAATCCCTAGTTTTTTGTTGTTTTTGAGATGTTGATATGTGATACAAGTAATGTTTGTTTTGTCGAACTTTTCATCTACAAACAGTTCTGTTGTTGGTTTTTTTTCAACATCACCAAACAGAATTGTGGTTTTAATTTATGTTTTTATTTTGTGTTCCACTGAAAACGGTGAATTAACATAACATCATGTAGTATTAACACACACTATAACCAAAATGTAAATATTGCATTTTAAGAACACTTTAAAATCGATTACTTTATGTTTTTTGTATATTAACAGGTTAGATTTTTACCTTGTAATTTTTTTTTAAAAAAGAGAAGTAATAAAAGGCAAATTTTAGTTTGGTTAAAAAAATAAAAGGGAAAACCTGTTAAAACTATAAGGCGGTTTTTTTGTCCGCCAACAATTGAAAGAAAACAAATAACAATTGTGATTAATTTGACTAAGATTTGCCAAATATCAATTTTTGGAAAATATTTAGGGGCTTTCCCATGTTAAGTTGCTCACTTTGTAAATACAAATATTTTAAATGTGTGTTGACAACATTTGGATCCATTTGCCTTTCGAATTTTTTATCAATGAGTGTCAAGAGCAGCAAGTTCTTCAACATAGAGACTATTTCTCTGTTTTTGAATTTCCTAAATTACACAGAACAAAACAAGCTTTACTAACTATGTGTTTATAATTCACGCATACAATTTATGTGTTCGTATTTTTTTCGGCGAACTCGTTAATAACATTATTATTATTTTTTAGTTTTTCGTTTTTGGGTTTTTTATTTTTTTTATTTTTAGAATAGTTTCATTAACCACACATTTTTAAAGGAGGATTTTTTTCTGTTGATTTACAGTTGTAAAAAATATGATACTTTCAATTCGCACCATTTTATATTGAGATTATTTGTCGTTGGATGTTTGAAAGTGGTTTGATTTAAAAGAAAATCTAATAAAATGTGAAGTTATTGCAAATTCTATTAATCTGCTTGTATCATTACATCACACAAAAATGTAAATGCATGTGATATTTGTTGATTATCTGTTATGAAATCTCAAATAACTTATTACGTCTTTTCATTTTATTTTTCAAATACGTAAAAATTTGAATATATCTAGAATTTAAATAAGTCATTTATTTGTGATCAATTTTTTTCGAATTTTTTAATGTGCAAATATTATTATTTGGTTAATAAGAAACGGACAGAAATCCTTCTTATAATATTTACCTGTTAAAGTATTTCAAATTTATTAAATTCAAAAAATACTAATTTTATATTACAAAACCTTTAGTTTATAATAAAAATTGAATTACGAATTATAATTGTTTTTTATTATAAGTTGTATAGGTTGTATTTTTGTGTTATCCACATTCTTGTGTTATATAATTAGTTGTGGTTGATGAATAATTGATTATTTTAGGAACTAATCCTATAAAATTATCCCATTGTTTCCAAGTTTTTTTTACATTTTATTATATTCCTGTTGTTTACATTTAATTACAGTCCGTCTTTTAAAGTTATCTGATCTCAAAAGTTATCTGGTACCTTTTGGACCATAAAGATTGGAATGAAAAGCTGTCCCAAAAATTTATTATAATTGTTTCGGGTTTTTTAACATTTACCTAATGCCCGATGTTTAGACAAAATTAAAGCTATTTTATATCCACTAGATAACGTTAAAAATTTTTACTCCTAAGCTATTTTGTTGATTAAATAACGTAAAAAACAAATAAAAAAAATAGAATTCATTTATGTTACGCCCAATTCTTCGGTAGGCTCACATGACTCCGAGCAGTCTTCTTTGTGAACCATCTCATCGTCCCCGTTTCCGGTTTCATGTACTGGGCTATCTGTAAAAAACAAATATAATTAAGAACTTTAAAAAAGACCAAGTATGACATTTTTAAAAATGTCATTTACTCACCCACAAATGACGCCAAATCAAAAGAAATTCAACAAATTGTTAATTCACTTGACGAGTTCTTTTTCTTGAACGCGAAATTTGATAAATACACAGTCCCAAGACAAATCACTTCTTTGGGAGTGGGCTGTTTTGCAAACGCGAAGTTCCTTTCAAAAATCGAGTTTCCACCTTTTTTTGTTTTCATTAAAAATAAATGCTTCAAAAATTGTAGTTCGTTAAGAGAAATTAACTTACCACCAACCGTCATTACACTTAAAAGGTCTTGCTTTGCTGCATGTTTGGCTGTTTCCGAAGTGTGTTTGCCAATTGTTTTGAAATGCATTGAAGGTGCCGCTTTTTCATGATGCATTACAATTTCACAAATAGAAATACCCAGTGCGATTACAGTTATTAAATCATCTTGCTTTGCAGAATGTGCATCGTTTTTATCTGTGGTATTCACATGTGGTTGTCGGTTATCTTATGTACAAGACAATTCATTTCTAAATTGTGTATCACTAAGGGAAATTACACTTCCAGACACAACAGAGTGTATCGAGAAGTATGCATTCAGAAATTGTAAAAATCTTTTGTTTTCCAGAGCACCAAGTAATCTTATAAAAATCGGCGACGGTTGTTTTTCAGAGTGTGTGTCACTTAAAAATGTCTTTTTCAATCAAAATTTGAAGGTAATTGGTGGCTTTGCGTTTTACAATTGCACAGGTTTGACTGCTATAAAACTCCCTAAAAACATCACGTTTATTGGGAAAAGTTGTTTTAGTGGGTGTATTTGGATAAAAAGTGTTGTGCTCAACAGAAAGGTTTTTTGGAAGAATCTGGTCTTTTAAAGTGAATCAAAATCGTTAAAAAGTAATTTTTATTAATTTAGTGACAAAGTTATCAATATTTTTTTGCATTTTGTTATTTTGTAATTATATTTCATGGGGTTCGAATAAAAACAAAAGAAGTGTTTGCATTCTTTTGTATTTAAAAAAATTTACAACTTAACAAAAGATGGATCAATAATAATCACATTTACACATTTAAATAGTGTCAGTCTTTTAAATTTATCTGGTGGACAAAAATAGCTTTAATTTTGTCTAAAAATCGGGCATTAGGTAAATGTTAAAAAACCCGAAACAATTATAATAAATTTTTGGGACAGCTTTTCATTCCAATCTTTATGGTCCAAAAGGTACCAGATAACGTTTTAAGACAGACTGTAGTGATAAATATTTCAAAAGAAAAATACTTCTTTGTTTATTTTTTTATTTATTCGATAATTGTTGTTACAATAATCGAATAAATCTTTGTAAAAGAATTATTTATACGAAGATTTTCAAAATTATTTTTTTTGTGCGTTAAAACATGTAATAATTTAATTGGGGGTTTTTATAGATTACTTTTAAAGTTTTTAAAATTATATTTTTTGTTTTCAAGTTGTTCAAAATAATGAATTCATAAAAATGTAATTTTTTATAATGAGACCTTATATTTTGAATGAAATATAAGGTCTCATTATATAAAAATTGTAATTGTTTGTATTATCAGTTGTAGTTGAGATCTTTAAATGATTAAAGTTGATAAGACCAAACATAATAAATAATTATAAAAGTATGAATCATCATCATATTTTTTAGTTTAACCGTCACAATCTTTTTAATAATTCAAAGCACTTTGAAAAATGTAACAAAAATAATTAAGCATCATCAAACAATTTAATTGAATAATAATTTAACAAATGATAAAGTAAAATAACAATTAGGGTATTGAATATAAATAAATATGACTGTCGAATGTAGTAACAATAATATATAAAGAAAAAATTGAATAGTATAATCCAAATGAGTGAAGTAATAATTGATACTCCACCAACTCTAGTTGAAGCCAAAAACAATCTTATTGACAAGCTGTACGTTGCAAACGTCATTAACAGGCTCAGAGAAATTGACGAGAGAAAGCCGAATGATTGCAAACGTTGGTTTTGGGAGTTAGTTCAAAATGCGAAAGATTCCCTTTCTCAGACTGGTCAAAAGGGCGTTGATATCAGTGTCAAAATCACTGACGACGCATTTGAGTTTTCACACAATGGAGCTCCTTTTACTGGAAAAGCAGCCTTAGCTCTTTTATATAAATACTCTGAAGGTAAGACTAATGACTCAGAGTCGACTGGTCGGTTTGGCACGGGTTTCTTAACAACGCACACCCTCTCCAAAATAGTATCAATTAGTGGTGACATGTATTATGATAATACCAAAGAAAGAGTCATTGGGTTTAGAACGACGATGTACAGAAATGGTACAACCGATCTCGAGCTCCTTGAAGGAGTCAAACAGATGTTTAATGAATTGAAATTTTACGAGCCACGACCTTATAAGACTACTTTTACATATCAAGTCAGAACAGAAGATAACAAAATGGCACTTGAAATGGGCACAGAGAATATCTATGATAATGCAGTGCAAACCATGTTGTTCTGCAAAGTAGTTAATAAGATAGAAATAAACAACAAAGGAGTAAAGACGATATTTAAAAGAGTTTCAAATAGTACTGAAGGTGATTTGGAAGTCATCAATTTTGTCGTTGAAAATAGTGAAAGTGTCATTAAGAGAAACTTTTTGTTGTGTGAACTTGAAGAACAATCTGAAGAACTCACAAGAAGATTTAAGAATCCACGAAACGTGAGACTGTCTGCTGCAGTAGAATTTAACGAAAATAAAGAATTGGTGGATGTCAAAGGGCCATCACTTTATTGTGTCCTTCCTCTTGTTGGGAGTGAAAAGATGCAATTTCCATTTCTTTTAAATTCACCCGATTTTGAGCCTGAAAGTGAGCGTCAAGGACTTTTCTTATCAGGAAAAGAAAGAATAGAAGAGACTGGTTGTATTTCTAACACTGGGATAAATCGAATGATTCTGAAAAGAGCAATTCCTTTATACAAAAAGTTTGTGGATCATTTGAAAAAATATTCATATAAAAACATTCAAATGGTTGGGAGGGGAATTAAAACAGTACCCGAATTGGACGCAAACTTTTCTAAAGAGTGGTATACTCAAAACTACTTTTTACCACTCAGAGAAGTGATGAAAAACGCACCAATTGTCGAAGGTGAATACGGAAAGATGCCACTTTTTAAACACAACACACAATTTGTCAAATTTCCAGTCATAGAAGACAACAAATATTTGAGCGAATTTTATGACCTTTTTAGAGTTTTTCATGTTGGCGAAATCCCATTGAAGTATTGTTTAGAAGAATGGACGGAACAATTATGGGAGGAATGTGAGAAGACTACACTCAAAATGTTTTTACAAGAAATTGAGAAATGTGGGTGTGTGGCTGTGATGAAAAGCAAAATGAAAATTGAAGACGAACCCTTTGATTTTCTAAATAAACTGCTTCTCTTTGTGAAAAAGGTAAAACCAGAGTATTTGACTAAAATTAAATTGATTCCAAACGAAAAAATGAATTTTATGCAATACAATGAAGACATCATCGATATCTCAAAAGTCAATCCAATATTAGTCGACATTGTCGAGTCACTTGGAATCACAAATTGGAGGGATATCGCTTTAAATAATAAAATTACTTGTTTTACTATAAACGAAAATCGCATATACACAAACTCTAAAACATCTACTTACATTGATACTTTGGTATTAAAAGTAAAGACGCAATCCGATGACTTAAAAAAG